TTGGGTGGAATCGTGTGTGTGTGTGTGTGTACCTACTTAACCATATTTTGGGGACAAATTTGTACCCAAATGTGAGAAAAACCTGACAAAATCGGCAAAAACCTCAATTTGTGGATGTCCTCATTTGTAAAACTGTTATAAAAATTAATTAAACAGTTTTTTTTTTTACTTTTGAAATTGTAAAAATGCAGAAAGTTTTCTGTGAGGGGTAGGGTTAGGGGTGGCTTTAGGTTAAAAAGTGTATAACTATCTGTATATAAAAACAATCGAAGTCTATGTAATGTCCCCATTTAGATAGCTAAGTAAACGCGCGCGTGTGTAAAATAGTATATCTGTCTGGAGAGTAAACAAAAAATGTACTAGCCAATGGCGATTACGGTATATTGCCAAGGTGTGCGTAGAGGGTTGACAATGCAAAAATAAAAATACTCACGTTCTCAGACGTCTGCTGTTGATGTTTTGAAAAGTGTTCTTTTAAAGCTTTCAACAGCTTCTCAGCCTAGAAACAAGTAAAAACTGAGTATTTAATAAAAGCAGAAAACATTCAAGCACAAATTAAATGAAAGGGTTGTGATTTAGCGCAAAAACGTCAACAATATAACCCAAAACCTAACGAAAAGTTACCATACTTGACTTAGTACAGCGTCCGTATAAACGCATACGTGATAAATCTACTTTTACTCATGCAGTTTACACATTACAGGTCGTTAAGTAACGTTACACATGGAATGGCTGCAAGCAAGCAGCACTGCATCACTTTACCGTAGTAAACGCGTTTTACCTTCATATTTGCTTTCAGTCCAGCCTCTTTCGCGAGGCGCTGCAATTCCGCATATTTAAGCGAATCCAAATCCATGTTGTGGATAATTTCCATGGTAAAACAGCAGATATAACTGTAATGTTGAAATTGACTACTCTTTGATATACGGCTCGGTTTCTTTAGGGGGGAATGCCGTTTGAAAATGAACGTGTTTCAAAAACAGCTATTTCCGCTAGATGATTGGTTGAGAAGCATATGACGTGCTGCACTACATCCAATAAGAAGTGGCGTTTATGTTGGTTTTGATTGGCTTAAAGGTTTCGACAAAGGCGGGTTATGAGTGAGCGGTTTAGGGCGCCACTTAAAGTTCGAGCTAACAAACGAATTAACGTGGTTGCGTCTTTTGAACTTGAGTGAGCAAGAACGACAAAACTTGCGGATGTAATAATGTCGAACAGCAATCGAAGTTTTCACGAAAGCTCTTATGATATCAGTCCGTGCGACTCGACACAGACTAGTTCAATTGCAGATCAGCTAAGAGCAGTGAAGGACGGAGAAATCTGTATGGAAGACTATAGGAATTGCAGTGTCCTTCAATGCATGACATGCAACACAGTGCTTGGAGACTCTCGCGGCATCTGTGGGGAAGTCCAGAGCCTTCAGAGTATCATTTGTCTGAGTAAGTTGGTTTGGGAATAGGTTTGAAAGCATGCGGACTCAAAATTGTGCAGATATGGATGCAGTCATGACTACTTCTTGAAAAAGACACACGTGTGTGACTGTTTTGTTATAACCTCTCCATTTGAAACTTTACCTTTGCAGAAGTTACTGAGGATGTGAGGGTGAATAAAAAGCTGGAGATGAGTTTGGTCGGTCATCTGGCTTTCTCGTAAGTATTGCCGTCTGTTGATTTCAACTACCGCAGCTCATGTCCACCATGCATGTGCTGGATGTCCCATCATCTTGTGATTTCTCTCTCTGTAGCACCTACCAAGTCCTTAACTGTGCTGGTTGCCATGGTGCTGTTGGCCTGGTTCTTCACTCCACCCCAGAACATCTGTCTGCTTTAAGAAATCTCTTCTGTTTACAAAAAGATCTGATAAACTGGTGGGTGTAGTCTGTAATAATAATGTCCACCCTAACAGAAGTGCATTTCTTTAAAGGAACAGTTTACCCAAAATGAAAAATAACTGAAAATTACCCTCAGGCCATCCAATATGTAGATGTGTTTGTTTCCTCTTAAGGACACACTTGGAGAAATTTAGCATTGCGTTATGGGTGACATCACAATGAGAGTCCAAACAGCAGATAAAAACATCACAATATCCATATTACTCAAGTCCATCAATTAATGTCTTGTGAAGTGAAAAGCTGCGTGTTTGTGTGATTGGAGTCGTCTGGATTACTTGTGGATTGTTGAGATGTTTTTATCAGCAGTTTGGACTTTCATTCTGACGGTACCCATTCACTGCTGATGATCCATTGATGAGCAAGTGATGTAATGCTAAATTACTCAAAATCTGTTCTGATGAAGAAACAAACTCATCTACACCCTGGATGGCCTGAGAGTGAGTACATTTTCATTTTTTTTTAATGCAAGTTTTTATTTTTTGGTGAACCATTCATTTAACATAGCTTTTTATGATGGATTCTTAAATCAGATTATTTTCTAATGGTTTCATCACTTTTTATGATACATTTTTTATTATTTTTTTTCATTTGACAAATGTTTGTTTTACGTTTTAGCTACATGCTAAGAAGTGGCACATGTGTCAAAGCCTCCAAAATCAACTTCAAACACAGACTCATGGACAAAAATATTAAAGAGGTGAGTATTTATGCCCATATATGGTGTTTATTTTACAGGATCAGCATTATATTCTATTAAAGGGGTCCTATTATGCTCTTTTACAAAGTCTTGATTTTGTTTTGGGGGTGTACTAGAACAGGCTCTCATACTAGGTTGTTCGAAAAACACATTTTTCACATATTTTACATTACAATACCTCTCTCCCCAGTCTGGCATGAATGGCTCGAATAGTTCCTGTATCAAATGAAGGCCCGCCTTCTGAAATACGAAATGTGTTTTGATTGGCACCACTCGGCGCCTGCTCGGGAAATGTCATGCCCCTTACCATAGCTGCCTGCGAGCTTCAGTTAAAATATTGTCAAAATCAAATCAAGTTGAGTGCGATTTAAACCCGGGTTATTGTAACCACTCTAAGTTCGTCTGCTTTGGGAAAGCTAGCACGTCTCCGACGTATAACACTCGTTGCCTTCTCTAGTGCAGCTCAACCAGGTCTCGTCCCATTCGTCGGTATTTGTGATATCACAAATCCCAGAAAATATGCGTTGTAGTCCAAACGAGTCATTCGTTGTAGTTTTTGAAAAGTGATTTGTTAAATAAAATATCTCCTTTTGAAGTGGAGCTTTGTAACTTTGCAGATCTTTTTTATACTCAAACATCAACATTACAGACTAACTAAAGTTGAAAAAGCATAATAGGACCCCTTTAAAGGGTTAGTTCACCCAAAAATTTAAATTAGGCTGTTTTACTCACCCCAGAGCCATCCTAGGTGTATATGTCTTTCTGACAAATCCAGTCGGAGTTATATTAAAAATTGTCCTTGATCTTTCAAGCTGTTTAATGCCACTCAGCGGGTGTTGCATGCATCAGTCCAAAAGAAGTTAAATAAAAAGCG